ATGGTACAAAAGAGGTGGTTGTGCGAGTGTGCGTTTTTGGTTTTTTTTTGGTAATGCATACATATCTACATATGTATATGAGAAAGAACTAATTCTATGCCAGAAATTGTCTTTCTCAGAATCAATTCTTATTGGAAAAAATGTTCACACAAACCTGCTTTTACAGAAATTAGTAACACTTTTTTCTTATTATACCAAAAAAAAACAGGTGCTTCACAAAATTATGAAGTCATTAGTAATGTAAAAGTAATAGAAATGTTAAACCCCTCATAACAACATGCAATGACAACAATGGAAGCAGTCATCACAAAGAGTGTATTTTGTTAAACACCAATGTCCAAATTCCGTGAAACATGTTCTTTTCTTAAAGCACATACTACATATTGCCCAATTGAACAAAGAAATCTATTAATATTTTGTACACAGATAACAATTCTTTTAGTATCTATCAATGGTTACCCATGTATCATATGGGAACTATGTTAGTTATTAAGAAGACTGACACAAGCTCTCTTTGCAGAATCAGTAGGTTGATCATGATCTCCATATTCATCTGCCCCTCTCCATTGCCTACAAAACATTAGTTGTGCCTCCCACTCTTATGCTTGAACACAACCAGAATAATGCATGTATAAGCACTAAACACCACCATCCCTGCCACCCCTAATTAAGATTATATAATTTTATTAACATTAATTTTCTAATACCTCAATATTTAAAATATCGGTTAAAATTTAGTATACCGTACACCCTTAGGGAAGCGTCGCTGCGGGGCTTAAATCCTAATTGCTGTACGTGCTCTAATAGAAATGAATAAAACTTATGGATAGACGATTTTCATGGTTCGCCCTTCACATGCTTTGTCCCCGCTACATTGTAAAGCCAATTTACTTTCAAAGGCAAATTTACTCACCTCACTCGCCTGGATTCAAGTCACGGCGAGGCTCGGGCCTCGCGTTCACTATAAACATCCTTGAGTCTATCCAACGCATAATTACCAATTCACTTTTACAGGACCTCACTTTTCAATAAGCCCTCCAGAATTCTAACTGGCTAGTAAACACTGGAACGGTGCAAAGTGATGGTTTAAACGACTTCCTTAGGTTGTACCGTATACTAAATTTCAGCCAAAATATCAATATCCTAAAACATGTGCTGTGTTTATTTGAGTAATATTTGCTCTCCCACAATTTACACACTCCAAGTTTCTGTACGTTTTCAATCCTCGCATAATTTTAGGCACAAACTATTTTGGAAATAACCAAATTCCTCATGAATTAACAAAATTTGTAAAACTTAGAAAGTGAATTTCATTTAGACTGCAGTTTAGTAAAAGAATTTGTGATACAATTAGCAGCAAGAAGTGAGAAAATTCTTCACAATTCATGGAGTTACACTTTTGTGGAAAAATAGGTAGATTTTTGTACTTAAAAAAGAAATATTTGGATGATTAATACCTAAAAGAGGGAGTATCTAACAGTCATCGTTCTGGTATAAATAATAAATTGAATCATTTTATGATGACAATACTTTATTCTGATCAAAATATTGTGTAAGACAAGCAAAGTTAATTTATAAGCAAACACATGCTAATACAGCCACTATCGCATTTCCAATGTTAAAGTCATGACATCTCACATGAGGAGAGGGATAAACGACAAAAAGTTGTATATGTAACCAACACAGAAAATGACACTTGGTGTACAAATAAATGTTGACAGACGAGGAGACAATGGAAGCTGAAATGGACAATTTGAAAGGAATATGCCAGGACACATTCACCCAAATTGCCTATATGTCTTCTTTTTTAAATTTTTATTATTATTATTATTATTTTTTTTAAATTCTTGCGTCTAAATTGATGCTACGCGTCTCCAAGCCCCTTCAGGGGCGTTAATCGCTTTGTGCTTAGGATCCTTAATCCTCCAGTAACTAGTGCTCTTTAGGTGTAATCCTCCATTAATAGTAACATTCATTATATGTCATGTCTTGTAAGTCAGTTGTCATAAGGATGACATGAGATTTTTGGTATGGATTCATGGTAACGTACAAGTACCATATCTTGAGGTTATATTGCTCCACTTTTTTGAGATTTTCTTGGAAAGTGATTTAAAAGGAGAGATTTTTTTATAATTTTATTAGCTAGTTTAGTGTTAATAGTATCTGTTGATATTATATGCTACAAAATTTACTTGTGCTGTTTACATTTAATTTCTGAATGGGTGGAGCAAATTTACCATTGGATGGGATACTTTACACCAGCCTTAAAAAATAATGGTCACAGATGAATTTTTGTGTTTAATGCATTGCATGATACTTACAGCAATGGAAAAAATAATTCTCATCAGAATCCACAAAAGAAAAATTACAAAATATTTTTGTAGAAGCCCACAAACATTACATAGTACCTAATAGCCAAAAAATGTTAAATGGTACCTTAGTATGTAAAAGTAAGACACTTAATTGGAAGAAAACACTTAATATATTTCTTAGAGTGCTTTTCCACATTCCTGACTTAGAAATTCGAACAACAATATTGACAGTGGGGATTTGCTCCACTTTCATTGTGGTGAAATCTATCCCCATAATAGCTTTCTTGTACTCTTAAAATAGAACTAAGCTCAAAACTAAAATATATGGAAAGCACAGATAATGCAATCATAAAATGAGCACAATTTACCCACAAACTGTCTTCAGTTCACCAAGCTTCTAAAGGATTTTTAATAATAGTTCTTTCTCCTTCTGAACGACAGCCTCGCTTTCAGTTGGCAGAAATAAGACACTGATGCCAAGAAACTGGACTGTCAATACTAAGAATACGCTTTCCTTCCCAAATAAAAATTCCCAGCAGCACAGCTGCTCAGATTAAACATAGAAGCCACTGAAACTTAACGCAACTAGAGCAAAGTTTTACCCCAAGGAGCAAAGTAAACCCATGTTACGGTATGCATATATTATTGGAGTCATGTGAGCAAACAGACATGTTGAATCATGTTGCTAATATATTTTGTTTACTTTGGAGAACTCAATAATTTTATCTGGCAATCTCTACTTTGCTGTAAGCATTTTTCACAGTAACACTTTCCACTCAATGAACAGTGAAGGTAGGCACGAGTTTCCATTCAGAAGTGGGTAAAAAACAATCAATATTTATGAAGTATGAGGCACCTTAAGAAAAGCTGGGAAATGTTTAAAGGTTGATAAAGTTATGGCAATCCCCACTTACAGTGGACTGCTGAACACCAAGAAACCAAGACATCACAATTGGAAAGTTTTTATTTTCATCTCCAGTACCACAAAAAAAAAAATTGTATATCAAAATTCTGTAGCAGTAAAACGACAATTCTTGGCAGAATTAAAAATAATCTAACAATTTATTGTATTATTTCCATTCATGGGTAGAATGATAATGAAGTTTAAAATTTCATACATTGTTAACGAGAGAGATTAGAAGTTCTGTATCCTATAAAAATGAATTGCTTCAGACATGACAGTACAAACTTCCAAATCACCTGTTAACCCTTCTTTAGGTGTGCATGGGTTTAGTAGACCCATTGTGTTTTAAGAACTCAATATCTGAGTTGTTGGTGTAAGTTTACAAGATCTGCTGATATCCTGTGTGAATCGATTTGGTATCCATTGCCAAGGTTTCCAACAGATACATTGAAGGGCTAGCTTAGGTTGCTTAGCTCCTCTTTCCTCTGTCATTGCGTGGGACTGCTAGAACCCGCACACCTAATGGCGACACATGGAATTTGCAGAAAGACTTGGGTGTGCTGCATTTTGTAATCATCTTAGCTTTTATCAATGCTTTCTATTTGTTGTGTTTGAATAACATAATATATTCCCGCTCTTTTTCTAGATGTACATGAGTATTGTATGTTTGTATGTATGTACATTTGTACTTAGCGCGACAGCCCATGAGAGAGTTCAGGCCTACCAGCGATGTCCCTGGCTCACGGCAGTAGGTTAAGGGGTACTTATGGTTAGCACAAAGACATCCCCACGCCATATTCTAGGCTTCTCCTGAGAAGTGAATTTTCCTGTCATCACACAACATGTACTGGGACACTGCAAGGAAAACACACACTATAGTTTTGGATCGACTGAGAATCAAACCTGGGAACATGTAGTGAAACGAGAGCACACTGACCAAGAGCTAGCCATGAGCCACATAAGTAATAGTTTTGACATGTAAATTTTTAGATGGTGAAGGAAAGATCTAGAACTTCTTGTTGGAGACTATGTTGAAGAAATATTATGATGAAAATTCCAATTGTGAATTGGATAACAACATTAAACAAAAGTCAGTAAATTTAATTTTGGGCCATGCAGTAGGCAAAGAAGGTTTAGAACAATATTATAAAATTGTGGAGGTCACTTCAACCTTTCTACAAGAAAACAAAAATATTGTCATACATCTGATACTTTCTTATATTTATGCAAACATGCACACAGTTTTAAAAGAAGTGCTTTAATGTTAGCAACACTGCTATTGTTAAAGAATAAGGAAGTAAATAATTATGACTCCTTGTTTAGTTTTGATTTTACATAATATTCTGTTTTCTTGTTCTACATCAATATATAAAATAAGTAGTCTCGAAAATATAAAGGATATATTTATTTCTCTTTAAATACTTTGCTAACACTTCCTGAAACTTAAAAAAATTAATTTCCTCTAATAGATCCTTAAGTTCTAATAAAAAAAATATATGGTACGAGTCTACCAGACCCAAAATGACTAAAGGCAATCCAAAAAATTGGCATGCATAACAGAAGGTTAAAAAGCAATTATTGTAAAGCTGATGAAATTGTCATGCAACCTTGTTCTATCTCCTTATTCAGCCACCACACAGTTGTGATCTCTACTCTGCTACCATTCTCCAAATCAGACAAAGTAACCACTATTGAGGGACCACACATTTTGAATACTTAACGAGGACCAACTGCATCTGCTCTGAGTCGTCTTCCAAGTGACCTGGCGGTGCGACTCCACACTCGTTAAGGGTATATTTACTCATGAGCCCCCTTTCCCCAGTAGGCCTATGGCTCTCATTTTGTTCATCTTTCTTGTCTCTTCTAAACTTATAAAATTTGAATATTTCCAGTTCTATTTCAATCAAAATAGAAAAAAAAAAAACAATCTTAACAAGTAAGTACTTATACTTAACAAGTGTGAATTATTTTCTTCACTGTACAGAAAAGTCACATCTTCTATTAGTACTAATCCAACTACAGTTCTGGTTAATTACCACACACCAAAGGTACAATTAAAAACAGCAAGATTGAAACTTATAACCAAATTCAAATATAACCCAAGAAAATGGTGAAACCAGCAAATGAAATTTATCCCCAAAACAGAACCCACAAATAATCTGCAAATCAATATTTCAACCAGTTATTAGCCATCTACCCAACTATCTATATACACATATCCTACATGCAAGATGCTTGTAACAAGGCAACACTAAGCCACCTTAAGCGAGGTCTACAGGACATGCAATTGAAAGTTCAAAGAATTCTGTAAATCAGGTGATCTACATTAAAAACATATTGATTGTATTAAAAGTTTCTACATTTATTACTACAATATATTATATGACTTGGACAGTGACTTGCTAACCTCTAGCAGAAACCTAAAATGTAAACATCTTGATGTTGCTAGGCGAGTGGCTTATCATTGTCTAATTCTAAGCATCTACACATTCTATTTACGAAAAAGATGTCAGATTTTAATTTTAATACCAAAGAAGATAAAAATAAGAAATTAAAGTTGGAAGAGATTAAAGGATGAAGAGACAAGAAAGCTTTAACAATAATTTTTGATCTTCTTTTCATGAATTAATATCTCTTATTTGTGGAGAATAACCTTTTCATTGTAATGAAGTCAAAATATCTTAAATAATTTTTTAAAACTGAAGATTGATCCTTAAAAACAAAAACAAATATGCTAGAAACAACTTTATTACCGTGATCTAAATTATAACAAAATTATCAAAAGGAGACAGTATAATACAAAATGTGTGACGAGTAAGAAAAAAATTGCTTTCTCAATGAAATGTTTGTCAAGTATACCACATCCCAAAAACTATTAAGTAACCAACCTGCAATTACACTTATAATGTTGTTCCTGGCTAATAACATACCATACTATTAAAAGAAACTTGCTTGTTCACTCACTCCATCAACGAGCTTGTGGTTCCTCTTCATTATTGTCATAGTGATCAGCTATTAACAGCTCCAGATTGATCATGTCAGCACAGCGCACAGTATCAACAGGAATCTGCAATCCGTTATTTTTTAACACTATTTTAGCACAATTTCATAAATGGAAATAAGAAGTCTTTGAAAACTATGTTCAGTAGCTACAAATTAAATTATGAACTAACCTGTCCTTTATAAATTATAAAAGTAGGGAGTGACTGGACATCATGCAACAGAGCAGCATCAGGACACAGCTCCACATCAACAACCAGGAATAGAGCCCTGTCATATCTCCTGGCCAAACCTTCAAATGCTTCTGCAACAGCAATGCAAGGTCCGCTCCTGCAATGTAATGTAAAGATGTATGCCATTTCTATACGAGTGCAAATTGCATCTTAGCTGAAACCATGTTCAGAGGGAAAAATTCTGATTGTGGTGTCACTCTTTCACAAAAGAACATACAGAGAAACGTTTTGTTGACAGTAACAAATTTTTAACTTCTTTCTAATCCAATTCCATTAACAAATGGTAGGATAAAATATTTTGTTTAATAAGATAACAGACTGGTTAAAATGTGTTGTCTATTCAAATAACAATACAACTACATTTTTTCACAAAAAAAAAAAAAAGGATAAATTTACCAATATCAATTCATATATTGTTCTCAAAATTAGTGTACCTTCCAAATATTGAAGGAACACCTCATACAAAAATTGGAACATTTACGAAAACTCAAGTTGAAAGTTCTTGAAACGAAAGTTCTAAAATTAAAACATGAACTTTATCTACAGATATGCAATACCTATGGAAACATCTATGGCTCATACAAATTAATGAACATATGATTTTCATTTATTTATTTACAAAACTATTCCGTTGTAAGCGAAGCAATTGACCCAACTCACCATCGAGTAACAAACTCTACCACGAGTAACTGCCCTCTGGCAGCATCTAGTTCTGAAATAAAATGATTGTCATTCCTAATTACTCTTACAGAATTCATTTTGCACAAACGAATATTCCTCAAACTAGCGCACACGTTAGAATTCTAACACCGTCTAACACTAACAGTAAACCTCACTAGTACGACTACAATTAAAATATGAGGTTCATTGACAGTTCATCAGCTGTAACGCTGTCATCCAATCGCGAGCTTAAACGTCGCCATAGTGACGTCTATGAAGTGACGTAATAACTCCCGATTAGATGATAGCGTCACACCTTACCAACTGTCAACGAACTTCATATTTTATGCGAAGTATTCTACTTATGATCATATTGAGTAGCACGTTGTGGGAGATGGGGGGTTCATTCCATTAATACATAGAATACTTTTAGACACATATTTAAAGAATTTATTAGAAACAACAACAATACCAATTTTCATAAACACGTCTTGTCATAAATTCTCTTATTCTCATTATCTAATACTCGCAAAAAAATCCCTCCCTCTTTGAATGCGTGGCCAAATTCCCTCGTAATTATTACTTTAGAAATTTTACTTTAATACAACATTTGGTCTTCCTACAATGACAAATATAAATAAAAATAATTGTTCCCTGTTTCGTTAATTTCCTTGCGGAGATCCACCGCAATCTTGAACATCGTCCAGATGCCATTCAGCCTCCATTTCCTAAAAGATTCGGTTCACTCTGATGGTGTTCGTGTTCTCCACACGTAATTATTACGTACTCTCTAATTATTAGTTATTATTACGTACTCTCTAATTGTACATTTACTACCTTAAAACATCGCCTTTACAAATTAACAATTCAGTCTAATTCTTCCCGCAACCAAATAGATTTCCTTCCTACATTTGACTCACACCGTGTCCCCACATCATCTGCCCCGTTTTTTCATCTCGCGCGCCTTTCATTTGCCTCTAATCTAATCTGAAACGAAACTACTCAAAAACCAAGAGACCAAAGGAATTAGAAAACTTATACGAAAAAGTCTGTGCCAATCTGTAGCATCACTAGTTATTAAATATGTTGGTGCATGGCGTGCGTATTGTAAGTCACGTAATATACGCATTATTGATTTTTAATCTCATAATAATCTCTCTGCTTTTCTGAACATTTTAATATATTATTTATTGAAAAAATGTTTATTTTTTTGCTGTTTTAATGTACATTAGCACAGACAGGCTGTTTCAGAAGCTCCATGCCTCTATATAAACATGTATAATTCCGAAACTATTGACTCTCAAAGGCTCTGGCTTTCATAGTTTCTTTTTCGGTTATCTTGTTTATCTGTGCAATTTCGCGGGCGTGTTGGTCTTAGTGTTTTTGTAATTAAGTGTTATTTTCTCTCCCTTGGGGTAAGGGGTGGAATAGCCTAGTGTGTGAAAGAAATGTCAAATAGTTCGACGCAAATGACAAAACCGAAAGGTGGGTGAACAAAGGAAATCGTGAGGATGGTTGTGGTTAAATGTTGCTAATCTCGCGCTTTTCTTCAACAATTTTTGGTTAAGAAGTTGTGAAGGGATTCTGGAACTCAAAATATGCGCTGATAATATTCTCCCCCATACGTCAATACAGTTTTGACTGTTTTTTACTAAATAAATCAAATCAAATACGTTTAGTAATGACAATCTTATTTCCAGTGTTGTCCCAATCAATCGCGCTCCTCCCAATTCAGATATCTCAGCTGAGAAAATGACCAAAAAAGACAGAAACTAATTGTGCTAAAAAAGTACGTACATTCTCGTCCGTACTTTCACGCAAGATTAGGCGAAAAGCAATAACATTTTTTAAACATTATACAGGACCTTATTTCAAAATCTATTTTTAAGGAACAGATTTCACTAATGAAAAATAATATCTATGTTCATAACTGTAGTTGGAGAAAGACGGCGAAAAGAGTTTGAATTTTTGTTATTTTCGAAAAATTAGTTCTCAACGAAAGTAAAAACTGCACCATTCTCTTAAACGTCCTTTCAACTATCCGGCAACAAAATTTAACTTAAAACGATGAAGCCTTTTTTTATTTGGGAAATTTACCAGGGATGTAAAGTAAATTATCCCCCCAAATTGAAATATCGGTTTCAAATTCAAAGAACCGCGACATCAGTCAGATCGATTGGGGAATATCAATTTGGAGAAAATTGGCTGAACGGTTTACCCGCTAGCGTTGTTCACACACGAACAGGCAGACAGACGTTTTGCTGTCATTCGATTTTTCGGTATCAAGGACCCACAAAATATGGATTCTGGCTACACCACATTTTAGAGGATTTTTTCTAAATTGTTACCAGGCCCTATAATAAGAGTTTTTCTGCAGAAAATTTGCGGTTTTTCAAGCAGCATTATATAGCTTTCTCTCTACCCCGTAGCGAGAAAGTAAAAGGAAAACACATCTTCTAAATATAAACAATATAGAGCATAATTTACAATATGGAGCAGGTTGTTTTAGTAAAATAATACAACAAATATGATGGAGAATTCCTAGTAAAAACTTTGGAAGAGACTTTTTCAAAACACAGCTTTGAGAAGTATTTTAGTTTAATGTGTTAAAATGTATTTTGGAGAAATTTGAAAGCTGCCACGGGTAGACGTATTAAAAAACTACACACGTTCATATGGAACTCAATTTTTTCCACCAGAGAACGTTTTAATTTGTTTCTCCTCATTTAGACAGGTAGGTCGAATTCAGGCTCTGTCTGGAGAAGATTTGAAGCGACCGGCTTCTCTGATCGACAGTTTTCCGTGGTTTCTCCGATAAGTATCAGGCCAATGCTACAGTAGTACCGTAACAAACTAGCCGCGAACCGAGCGCGACCTTTCCTTCCTCTTCCTTGTCCGATCCTCTCCCCTTACACTCTCACTTGTACCAACATGCACTATACTACCACGATCTCAGGAGACCAGTCGAGCGCTTACAGCTTGTCCGAGCTGGAGTGGGGAACCTGAAGGTCAAGCCCACTAGTCGACGTTTAAGTCGGCGCCGGATTTCACATTTTAGCTAGACGGAATTCCGCCCCCCCCCCCGAGAAATACTAAGCACGAGACCAATGATTAGAACACTTGACGTGCACGAATATATCAATCTCTAATGAACTATTTTTTACAACCCCACCACCCAGTGATCGGGAGAGGTATCAAGCTCAAGGTATCGACTGATGTCACTGCAGTGCCTCTCACCACGAGGACCAAGGTTCCAGTCCCGACGGTGGCAGAATTTTCGACAATAGCTTGATAGCTATGTAGAATTCAGTCGCTGTCGGATGGAGAATCCTAGAGACCGGCTGCTCTGATTGGTAGTTTTCTGCTACAATCGATACCAAGTGAATGCCATAGCAGTGCCTGATTGGGCCACAAACCGCGCGGGATCGTTCCTACCTCTTCCCTGTTCTGTTCTTACCCCTTACATACACATACTTACACTTCCATGCACTACACTACCACACATGTCGGGAGACTAGTCGGGAGTTTAGAGCTTGTCCCGTCTGAGTCCCGTCCTGCTGATGGGAGATACCCGGTTGAGGAAAACTCAGCTAGCCGACTGGGGGTGGGCGCCAGATCTCATCATCCGCCAGGAGAATTCCACTGCTATATCCTGAGAAAGAAACATTGCACTACATGTATGGGACTAATGACGATGGCCGTTGACGCCCAAATAAATAAATAAATAAATAAATAAATAAATAAATAAATAAATAAATAAATAAATAAATAAATAGATAAATAAATTTAAAAAACGGAAGATTCACCGTCATGAAATTTTTCAGTATCAATGACAATGAACGTGGATACTGACTATATAACATATTGGAGGAAGTGATTTTTATAATAATTTTTCATTAATATAAGAGAAAAGTTTGGCAAATTTTTCGATATCAGGGATCTACAATATGGATTTTTCTGCAGAGAAAACTCTAATTTTCCGCAGAAGTATTACAATACATTCTCTTTAGTACGCAAATGCGAAGTAAACGAAGAAATAGTATACTTTGAAAGAAAAGAAGAAGAAGAGGCGCCTGTCAGTTTAACCTATTGTGTAATACTACTTCATTTGGAACATTTGTTTAAATGACAGTCTTATTTACATTTTTAAGCCTACGTAATTCTTCTATTTCAGAAAATTATTTACCTTTAATACTAAAGGAAAGACAATAAGAAAAGTCCAAAATTTCGAGGCGGAACTGACACCATCTTTGAGAAAACGAGGCATTTCAAGTTTTTTTTTCGGGGCAAGTGCACCCATAAACTGATTTCAAACTATATCCTAGTAATTTATTTTCTCAGGAATACATGGTACCGTCATCTATTGAATTTATGGTCTAATTTGGTCATAAATATGATGAAGGAAGTATCAATTTGCACTTCCTTTCGATCTTTATGAAACACAATGTGTAAGAAGAATACGAGTACCTTGTCTTAAACGAAAGGCGATACACAGAATTAACAATGTCACGCCCGATCACGTGAAAGGAAGACATATACATCACCTTGACGCGTGGCTTTGTCCTCCCCTCCCAGCCCAACGCATCCCCTACCTCTGAAATTGGTAGCTCTCCTGCGGCAACGGGCAGTGTTTGTCGGAGGCCTCCTGTGTGCAGTCGCAACCGGGTCGCGGTCGACCAGCGAAGCAAAATGCGCGGAATGATGAACGAGATTTTACAGATCCTCGGCCGTGAGAACCGTTGCGTAGGGGTGATTCTCCTCGTGTTCGGGGTCATCCAAGTGCTGCTGCTGTCAGCGTTGCTGCTCCCGGAGGACCCTGTGATATATGAGATTCAACCTTATCCAAGTTCTACTAGAAAAGTACATCTAGCTTTCAAATCTATAGATGCGGCTACACGAGTTGTGAAGAACGCAAATGCTACGCCGACAGACCTAATGCCGACAGATCGCATCGGAGAAAATCCTGCAGCCAATATCTCTGAAAATGAAGGTATGAATTGCGACGTCATAGTAAATATTTCAGGACTTAAGGTAGGTGGCGCCTCAGTTCACTCGCCTACCAGATTTTCACTTCTCTCTCTCTTACCAGATCGCATTGCAGCTGAACCTGCAGATGACATTACCACTCGAGGCGACGGTACGGGTCCCCCTGGTACAGTTATTTCACGCCACTCGTTGGAAGTGGTGCCCAAGTTGTACGATCAACCAGCTGCCTCTGGAATTGGAATAAAACCTCCTGAAATGGCAACGACGATTGACATTAAAGAGGACTACGAGTTTATTCCTGTTCCAGGTTCTACAAGGGCCGCAATGGAAACGCAGCCACCCATCGCAATACGTGAATTTGGTAAGATTCGATCCGATTAAGAAACAATTTCGATATTGATTTGTCAAACTGTTAATTATTCCAAAAGACTGTTTATCTGGGTTACAAAAATTGAACTTTTTTGAAGCATTAGTGACTGAACACGACATGGTATCAAACCTGGTTACCGAGTTATTCTGTTACACTAAAAGTCGGAAATACTCCATGCTGTGAAGTACCGAGGTCCTGCTTGTTTTTTGTTGTTGAGAAACTATTATTCATTTAAATATTCGCTAGTATTCCTACTCATGAAGCACACTCACTATTATAAAATGTAAGGTATTTGATATGTGGCACGTATTCACATTACTAATTTGCAATGCGCACGAAAGTTGAAAGAAAACTCTATAGTCTCCGGTCAAGCGAGAGCTGATATGGTTTCGTTAGATACCCATTAACTTGAGGATAAAATATTAAAACAATAGAAATCCTTCGGTGAAGACCGATAAATTCAAATATTTGATTCTGTTATTCCTGACAATCTTGTAGTGTGCGTTCCGACTGAATTCTCGTAAGAATAATATTGAATAAGAAAGAATATTCTCGTAAGAATAATCTCGTAAATAATTCTCGTTTAAGAACAGTGACTGCTTTCAACACAACTGGTCATGCGAAAGCAAGACTCATGGGAAGTGGCGGCCCCCCGTTAAGTATTTGCTATTCATGTGTTGGCACAACTTGCAATACAATTTTTTTATAATCTTAAGGAAATGTTATATTGCATATACACAACGCTGTTATTGCATTACTCCCAAAGAGTGTTTTTATTTCAATATTTAAATTACTTCACTGTTTTTGCAAAAGTATATTATTTTTTGTTCTTTAGCAATGTGAATGGGAGTTTCGAAAAACCGACCGGCTTATGTGGCATAGGGCATCAATGATGTCACTACAGTGCCTGTGAACAGATGGTAATAGAGTTTGTGTCCCAACGGTGGCAGGATTTTCGACACTAGCTAGATAGCTAGGCCGGAGGAGGATAGCTAGGTCGCAGTCTGGAGGAGAGCGGCCGGTTTATCTGATCGGTATTTTTCCGTGGTTTCTATGAGTAGCACCGGGTGAATGCACCGGAGCACAACTGGAGTTTATTATGGTATTAATAAACGGGTCACGGACCACGCGCGATCTTTCCTGCCTCTTCCTTGACATATCCTCACCCCTTACTTACAACGACTTAAATTAACGCACTACACTACCACACATTTCGGCAGACCAGTCAGGACACTAGAGCTTGTCCCGGCTGGAGTGTTGCTCCGCTGACATGAAATACAGGATTGAGGAAAATCGCACTAGCCGACATCTAGGTCGGCGCCAAATCTCATCATCCAACGAGGGACGATTATCGCCATCTCCCGAGGAAAACATGCGTTACACTTGAGAGACTAATGTCCTTATAAGTTAACATGCTCCGAAAAGAATCAATCGAACAATAAATTGGAAAACAGTTTTGGTATTTTTCAGCAGCATTTTTGCTCTAGAATCTATAGTTTTCCAACGTTCTGTGCAGAAAATGTGAAATTGCCTTTGATTCGCTATGGATAACTAACTTAAGCTTTTTGCCTACCTTCATCTTATATCACATACATTTTTCAACTATTTCTTATGCTAAATAAATGTATAAACAAACTTTCAGGAAGCAAAGCAACCACGGAAGATAAAGAGAAATCCATTGACTCTGGTGTCAATTCTGCACTACGTTTTGGTCAAGGCTGGAAGGACATTATTGCCAAACGCATCTTCAAATACGACGTGGCAGGCGCGAAGGTCAATCGGCTCAAACCATCTGCAGCCAATGACCTTGGATAGCGCGAGGCGCTCCCGGCCATGAACGGGCTCGCGTTGTTCCCGCAGTTGGACCGCCTCTATTGGACTGCCCGGCGCGAACGTGTTCGCACCGCCCCCGTCGCCACCACTGCAGCCGCTCCATAGACACAGCGGTTACCTGCCCTGTCCTTCTCCCTTAAGCAAAGTATTGTGGCTAATCACGACAGAAATTTGTAGTGTAGTGTTTTGTCAACCTTTTCAACTTGTGGCACTTTAAAAGAGTTCTTTAATTACAGCACATTTGTATGAACTTTAAAATAGTGCATGTACCTATTATTTCAAGTGTAACTGGTGAATGTAATTTAAAAAGAAAACTATTAGATAGATAGTGCATACTTGATAATTTGTTATCTATATGTAGATAAAATATTTTTTTTTCATTTCTTTAATTTGAAGAAAAGGGATTTTTCGTTTATTTTGATCGATCTCTGGATGGCTAGCATAAAAAAATAACATTGTTCTAGAAATAATTGGTAGTTTTGATTATTTAAAACTTTAAAATATTTTCATATAATTTAATTAAATATGCAGCCATCTTTGAAAAATATTTTTTTCCTGCCTGAATTTGGAGATTCACTAACCATTATTGCACTTTTTGGAGATCGTTTATAAATAAGAATAAGTAGAGATGTAATAAAGTAAAGAATGTACAGATATTTCCTTATTTTGAAATAAAACCTATTTGATATGGTATATGAAACCATGAAAGTAACTAGTCTTTGAATAAAATTACTTTACTTTAATCCTTTCGTCTTTGTCATCCTTAAACAAACGCATTTACATCCCCAAAATTGTAATTACATACAATTACTGTCTCAAAGAAATGTTATTTAGCACAGCTAACCGCTTCCATTTCAATAATTTGAACGTTCCAGAAGCTTCATTCTAATGAATCACATTCATTAGGTGCCAGTATTAACACCTCACTGCAAAACATCTACATAAAACCAGTGGTGTTACAGAATGGCACAGACTTTCCCATATTAGTTTTCTATTTCCTTTGGTCTCGGCTAGCTAATCGGACTTGCTACATACCCTTGCCAGATGCCATCTACGCCCCAAGTACATTTTTTGACATTTTCTTTTAAATTTTCGATTTTCTAATTATAGATCGGAAATATTATTTTAAGATAATTTAATAACAGTAAAATATCAACCTAAATGGCAATTTTCTTTGAAAAATTTACAGCCGTTTTTAAAAAACTAGCGTTTAAGCGTTACTGTAAATTCGAAATTATAAGCTCTTTTTTACAGAAAAATGTTTTTACAGAGTTTTCGAAAAACGTCACTTGAAGTCATTCGAAGTAATTTAACTTACAAATACAATAGCGATTACAAATGTGCATATCAACGTCGTGAGAAATATTTCAAAACATTTACATTTGTGTAATTTTTGAATGAAATGAAAAAATACACTGAAATGAACATTACGTCATATTCAACAGTGCAATTAGCACTATCCGTTTGAAATGTTTGAAGACAAAATTTGAAGCCGTTTTTGAGAAAATGGCGTTTGAGCATTTCTGAAAATGAGCAGTTTTGGGCTAGCTTTTACAGAAAACGGTATAGTTTTCGAGAAACTTTATGTGACATTATTTAAAGCACATGCACTCATAAATACAATAATGTGAACAAATTGTTGCTAATATAAATATTAACATGAAAGACGAGTCAAAAATAACATTTTTGTAATTATTGAAAAAACAAAAGAATAGTTCAATATGGCATTTACGTCATCTTATAAAGTGCATTTAGCACTATCCCTACCAAGAATTTGATGAAAAAGTTGGAGCCGATTTTGAGACAATCTTGTATTTGTAATCTTTTTAAATTGCATATATTGCACGCAATATTGCGGGAAGACTACTAAAATTTTCAAAAAATGTGCATGACCTTAATGAAAGAACTCACTATTGAGATAACATTTTATTTGAAGGAAAAATCCTTATCTTTAATTTTGTAGTTGTAGGATGACAAAAAAAACATACTTTTGAAATTTTCGAACATTTAGAGTTAACCGTGAAAATTGAACCTATGCCTCGTGTATAAGTGTATGTTACTCTATTCTTACAAGAAATTTAAAGAAAAAAATTGAGTAAAGTACCCCCAAACTTTGAAAAATGTTCTTCCAATTCTCAAAGTTTTGACTCGAGCCAGATAGACAGAGGTGTCTTCAATTTGGAAAAACTCCTACGCATGGTTTAGGCGCTAGTATTATTCACAGACACCGGACGGACAGACGGACGGACGGACGGACGGACGGACGGACGGACGGACGGACAGACGGACAGACGGACAGACGGACAGACGGACAGACGGACAGACGGACAGACGCATGTTTTGAAAAAAACACTATTTCTGTATCCGGGGACAACAAAACGTGTATTTCCGTTGAAATCTCGAAATCGATTATCCTCAGCATTACATAGCTTTCCCTATACTACGTGTAATACTCCGTATATACGTAGTACGTATACGGGAAAGTAATAGATGCAGGTTATTTTGCAACACAGCCGTTTGACAGTTTAAATGGCCAGTAATATATTTTCTACTGCTTAAGTAACGGAGAGTATATTCAAAACTGAAAATGAAATAATAATATTTTAATATTGATATTAATGCATTAATTACCATTTTAATTGTTTAATAAGACTAAGATAGTAACAAGTTTTTACTACAACTTCTGAGTCAATGACTCATCTCGACCAGGTTTTCGGTCATTTCTCAGGACACTGTGGCGAAATAGGCCGGGAGCCAGCAAGAAAAAAAACGTGTATAAGCTCAAAGCTAAAACATTTCGAGAAGTTATGCAGTGTTGTGATTAACATTAAAACGCAATTAGGTGTCGGCGTTGTGCTGCACAATTTTTTGAATGACTCGAAAAAAACTATGGCCTTGGAGAATGATAAACCAGCTCATTCTTGTTATGTATGGTTCGTTAAATCGCCAAAGTTTGATGGAGTGGTATGCCATACCAATATGGCGTCTCAAACTGTCCACCATATTAAATTCAAAGGGTCATTTTTATGTCCTCTTAGATTGCGAGATAAACGCGTATATTTTGGTCTAATTGAATTGAACTGAACCCTTATTTTACGTGGCAAGACTCAGGCCTTAAGGCCTGCTCTTCCGCCTGACCACGCAAATTTCGCTACGCTCCTTTCACCAACTAGCAGAGAAAGGAGGTATTTCTTGGGCGAGAAACAGGCGATTTCAATTTAGCTCAGAGGCGTCATTCAGGCTTGAGGATCTTTTACATGCAAGCAAATCTACTAACATGGGACAGCCGGCTTTACTTCCCCTCCGAAGAAGGCTCCGAAGAAGGCCCACGGCTTCGATCGGGTTTGAACCCGCCAACTTGGGTACAGCAGTCCGTTACACCAACGCCGCGCGCAAAGTGGTAGTGTGATGATTCCACAGACATTTTAGGCGTTCAGTTTTGTGAAGAATTTCCCGGGGTCCAACTGAGTATCGGTATGCGTTGTGCGTTCGATACTGCGGCGGAGCTCAGGCCCCACACGTTTTATTTGTGGGAGCCGAGCACGGAAGCGCGGTCAAAGCTGTGCTCCACGCTCCAGCTCTAGAGGATCTCGAAGGGGGGGGGGGATTGCTCTGAGTTAAGAGGATGCGCGTGCTTTCTATATGTTAAATAACATGATGAACAGGTTGGTTGAATCGAATACTCATCATCCGTCAAAGTAGCGGATAGTGGACACATTTAAGGTTAAGGGGGGCCGGAATGGCATATCTCACCAATGTTAATGTATGGAACATTTTCTCTGAATCGATTTACTGACTTGAAACTTTACGCGAATGTAACTTCATTATTTACTTGTATGTATTTAAAACCTTTTTTAAAAAATATTACTAGTTTTCACGTTTTTGGGCATTGTAAAGGATTTTGATGTTAAAAATACTAACTCTTATAAGAATATTGTCTAAAGAATTTAACGTTTTATAAATCCGACCCCTTAAAGTGTGTAAACTGGTGTGTTACATGCTCTGTTAACATTTGAGCCCCCTTCTATTAATAGTTTGTGAGAAAATGTTCCCTAAAGATGAACATTGTAAACTTAACGGGAAATGGCTCCTAATGTTTTCAGTGTATTTCTGGTCCACATGATGAGGAAACCTAAACACGCAAATATTTTGATACTATTTCACACTCAAACGTTACCATAAACAGTGTGTCCAACACTCCAAAGCCAAGTATTTATTTCTCACAACGAAAGCAGAAAGATGCAATCAACACCCATGATGTATCAAAACGCCGTCTTTCGCGCCACATAAAGTTCAAAATTTTTAAAAAAATACATAGAGGTGGCATATTAAGATGAAACCTTGCGTACTTAAGTCAGAACACTATAAATTAGTTAATGATTCAAAACAGTAAAAAACTATATTTTTATAATTTATGCCCATTCTGCGTCTCCTTAAGCTTGCTTCATACAGAAATTTTTTTTTTGAATTTATAACAAAAAATTTACAATCTATTTTTTTTACAAAATAATAAGTAAATATGATGTTGGAGAATTATTCTGACATTGATTGATTTCCAGTGAAGGTATCCCATCGGTACTCTTCATCTACTTCTTCGACAAATAGACAAAATAGACAAATAGACAAATAGACAAATAGACAAATAGAACAAATAGACAAATTAGACAAATAGACAAATAGACAAATAGACAAATAGACAAATAGACAATAGACAAATAGAACAAATAGACAAATAGACCAAATAGACAAATAGACAAATAACAATAGACAAATATGACAATAGACAAATAGAAACAAATAGACAATAGACAAATAGACAAAAAATAAAGAAACCCAAAAAATAAGAAACCCCAAAAATTTTAGGAAAAAAAAAAAAAAACAAATAAAGAACCCAAAAAATTTAGAAAACCCCCCCCAAAATTAAGAAAAACAAAAAATTAGAACAAAAAAATAAAAAGACAAACCCAAACAAAAAATAGACAATAGACAATAGATCAAAATAGACAATAGACAAATGACAAATAGACAAAATAGACAAATGCAAATAGACAATAGACAAATAGCAATATAGAACAAATAGACAAATAGACAAATAGAAAATAGACAAATAGAAAATAGACAAATAGACAAAATAGCAAAATAGACAAATAGACACTAGACAAATAGACAAATAGAC